GTTTTAGTAATATTTTGTAAAATTAACCTCAAATTTACTTAGTTAACGAAGGCGAGTCTGCTTTAGAACTGTACCGTGCTAGAACTACGTGCTGTGGTCAGATTTTTAGTCGTAGAAGGTGAGAAAGATGGTAAAATACACAAAATAGTGCTAAAAGTGAACAGAGACAATTGTTTGAATCGTTCAAACGTTTACAAATGGGTACAACAGTTTCAAAGTGGTCATACAAAAGTTTCTGAAAAATAACACAGTGTACAACTGGTCAAAGTAGGAACACACTCTCTCAAATCTCAAATTGACGTGTTAATTTGAGACAATAGGTATACCCCTGTTGAATTGATAAAAGAAAAAGTAAGCGCAAGTGTTAGAACTGTCCATAATATTATTCACAATATGTTGCAGTACAGGAATCATCAATATTTGACAAAAAAAAAAACTTTTTTAAAAAAAAAGGTTTTAACGTGTGATCCACCACTATGAGCCAGAGTCAAAGCAACAGAGCCTTAAGTGGAAGAACACAACTTCTCATTCTTAAAAAAATTCAGGAAAAAACCCAGCCATTGGTCGGTAAAGTTGTGTATAAAGTATTCTGAGATTTTTAGTGGCTAATTTATTGTAATTTTCTGAAGATCAAAGAAAAAACAACAGCCAGTGCTAGAGTAACATGCTTGAAAATAAGGTAAGACCTGCCATTCGAAAAAAACGTCGCGGGCTCTTGACTTAAGGCGTGATTTTTAATTTATGATAACGCCCGCCCAAATACAGCACATCTGACAAAAGTAAAACTTTAAAAACGGGAGATTATTCCACATCCCCCATACAAGCCAACCTCGAGCTATCGACTTCCATTTGTTTGGATCCCTTAAAGAGGGTCTAGGAGAGAAACATTTTTAATGCAATGAAGATGTCAAAAATCAGGTGCAAAAGTGGCATCAAGATCAACCCTAAAAAGTTTATGCCAAGGGCATTTTTAAAATTGCATAAAGATGTGATAGGCGTATAAGTGCTGTTGGGGATTATGTTGAAAAGTAACAAAATTTTGTACTGATTAAATAAACAATTTTTTAGTTATAGTAATTTATCTTTTTAATTATTGAACAATTCTCGTATGTTTGTGATATTCAAACATACAAATGAGATTCTTTTTTTTTCTAGCAAATACAACATCGACTATTTATGTTTTGTTTTATTTTTGCTAAAGTTGTAACAATTATATCTTACTAAGATTATAACAATGTTATAAGTATTTTAAAAATAATTATATTTTTATAAATAATTATATCTTACTAAGATTATAACAATGTTATAAGTATTTTAAGCTGTAGCATAGCGACAAAAAAAGTTCTTCACAAAATTTTAGTAACCCTTCAGATCTACTGCAACAACTTCTGAATTCAGTGGCTGTAAAAATGGCAGATTGAGAACGGATTTTTTATATAATGAACAATATAGTGATATCAGTGAGTTTATGCCTACCAGTTAAAAAAATGTGCTCATTAATGTTTGCAATTTTTTGACCCACCACCATTTTTTTATCATAAAAGTTATGTCTAGAAATTTATTAAGAAACATACCTCAGCTGATGGTTTAAAAGCAAGGTTAAAAGCTGAGAGGTCAATGCCTAAATGTATATCAGATTAGAAGGTGATTTGGAAAATACTGACGTAATCGTAAGTCCACAAGAAGATTTTTGAATTTGAATACTGTAGTATTGACTGTATTGTATTCTCAGTGGTAAATTTTGATAGTGATTTTCAGGTTAGGAATTGACGATGATTAGTTATAATTGCGATATGTAATTAAGTAATTGCAATGCCATTTTTTCGATTTCAATTAGCCTGCTAACAATTCATTGCGAGCCAATTTATATTTCAAAAATTGCGTGCAACTCAATGCAATTTTTTATCGTTTTTTGTTGCATACTCGAAAAAAGTCGTCTAGAGTTTTAAGTAGCTTAGTATTATTAACTTGTTGAAATAAATAGCTTTTCTTTTTTTTTTTTTAAGTTGATTAAGGTGCCCTAAAAAGTCCGTACGGTCTTATTACAGAGCACCGCGGAAGAGCATTTAATTGGAAGTTCACGCCTCCTTCTTAACCGATGTCGCAAAACTTGCCCAGAGGTGGGGTTTGAATCTTACGTTTCTGAGGCAAGTGCGCAACCACTGCGCAACGGCTGTCACTTTTTTGCATTAATATTTTGACATTGTTGGAATATGTAGTTGAAAATAAAAAGTACAATCAAATCAATATTGAAATCAATGCAATTATCAAAAATAATTCGGTCTAGTCGAAAAATCTTCCAGGCTCGTGGTATATTTACCACAAACTTGTTACAGCATTTAAGTCTATTATGTTTAAGATCAAATAGACGTATTTTTTTCTTGTCTTTATAGCTGCAAATTGGTCTATAAGATATTTTACCATCTTTTAAATTTAATTAAGCTGCTATTTCTGCTTTAATAGTTATTAGGCTTTGCGCAGATAAACGGTCTTGTCCAATTGTTGTTCTTAAATGTTTTAATTCTTTTTAATAATCTTTTTGCAGTTGTACATAGATATCCTCCGCTCTCGTTTATTCCTCCTACCCCTCTTTCTTTACCTTTTTTTGTATTAATCAAACTCTATATTAATTTTTTTATTTATGAATTAATATAGTTTGTTTTGATTTTTTAAACACTAATAAAGAAAAAGTTTTTCAATATTTAAAGTAATATTTAAGATTATTATTAAACACATCTGAAAAAGAGTTTGCATTTCTTAGCTACATAATAATAGTACAAATTGTTAATGCTTACATGTTTATGTAAATTCATAACTTTTTAGGGCTTTAGGGTTTTGGGCTGTGCGAGCGCTTCGCTTCGCTACTGATTTTAAGTTGTTATTAAGTTAAAAGATATTTAAATTTTTAAGCATGAAATGACAAAATAAGTTTTAAAAATAACCTATTAAAAAAAAAAAAACTAAATTTATTAAAATCTATACTTAGTCCAAATTTGTACTGCCTATTGGTAAAAAGATGGTTAAGAAAGATGATCATTTGTTTTGTTATACTTTATGACTTGAGGATTTTAAGAGCAACCGTAGCGCAGTGGTTAGAGTTCTGGTTCAGAATCAGGAGGTTAGAGGTTCGACGTCGGCTCTAACTTATTATAAGTGACATTGGTAAGAAAGAAGGCGTGAACTTCTCAAATTAAATATTCTTCCGCGGTGCTCTATGATAAAACCGGTCTTCTGGAAGTACCTTAATAATCACAAAAAAAAGTGTTTTACAATATTCCATATGATGCTAGTTTTGGTGCCTTGGAAGAAATGAGATTTAATCAAATCAAAATTGTTTTATTAAATAATAACAAGACATATTTCTTACAGAAAAGCTATTTCAATATTTTGTATAAGTTTTTACCCCACCCCTCCTTTCACATCCACTCCCATCCTGTCGGAAAATGCATCGCAGGATTTTAAAAATGTTTAACTTTTAATTTTTTAAATAAATATCTAAATGATACCATCATTTTTATACGTGGATAAAGTACAATTTGTGCGTCAATTTATGATCATAAATTGTGTCATATGACACAATTTATATGAACGAAAAAAAAAACTTTATTAAACTAAAATTAAAGTTACGTAACTATTGCAATAACGTAAATAAAATTACATAACTATTGTAATAACGTAAATAAAGTTACATAACTATTGTAATAACGGATCGTACATAAATAACGTAACGCAAAATTTCACAATAAACAAAACAAAAAAAGATCAAAAGTTTTTCCTCGCAGAGTCTTAATTTAAATAAATAATCAAAATAGGTAAATTCTTTAAAAGATTGATTAAAGAAACATGCACCAAACAAGAAGCAAATGCAAGCATCTGGTTAAACGCCTTACCACTAGAAAACCAAGGTTTTGTTTTAAATAAAGAAGAATTTCGAGATGCACTTTGCTTACGTTATAATTTTGACTTGAAAAACATCCCTCGTATTTGTGAATGCGGAGAACCTTTCAATGTAACACATGCATTGTCGTGTAAGAAAGGTGGCTTCATTTCAGGTCGTCATGATAACAAAAGAAATTTGTTCACCACATTGCTTAAAAGAGTGTGCATAAATGTTCAATCTGAACCACACCACATACCCCTTGATAATAAGAATTTTTATTTCCATACAGCAAATAAAACTAACCAAGCACGTTTGGATATTAAAGCAAATGGTTTTTGGCAAAATGGACAGACAGCATTTTTTGACGTAAGAGTTACGCACGTCAATTCCATGAGCAACAAAAATCTAGATATTGCTGCTATATTCAGAAACACGAAAAGGAAAAAAAAAGAGAGTATGGCGAACGAGTTTGTGAAGTCGAACATGGCAGTTTGACACCACTAGTGTTTGGTACAAATGGAGGTATGGAAGAATGCCATCGGTTTGTTAAAAGGCTAGCGGAGAAACTAGCGGAAAAACAAAATGAAAAATACTCAATTGATATGACGTGGTTAAGAACGAAGTTATCTTTTGAGAAACTTTGCTCAACTATCCTTTGGTTAAGAGGTTCAAAAACACCGTGGACTAAAAAAAATGATTTTGAAATTGGTGTTGATTTTAAGATGGATGCTCTAGAAGCAAGAATCTGAGTTCTTATAAATTTATGTTATAGCATTTTGTTTTACTTGTATATTTATCATTTATGATTAAGTTAAATAAAAATCGCCGCGTAAAAGAGCTTAATATCTCCTACTTCTGCTCTTAAAATATTTTTTGCGTTGCGTAATTTATGGACAATCCGTTAATATTGTTTTTTTATAGTTTTTTTATTTTGTTACGCTACAATTCTCTAAAATTATACCATTGTTAACATTTTGATGTAATGTCAATTTTTTAATGTTTTTCAAAAAATAAACCGTTATGCCAAAAAATTAGACCGTCAAAATGACATTCTAATTTATCTTTTTAAAGCGTATTATTTTAAATTTACATTTCATATAGATTATTAAAACATATATACCTAGTAATGCAGAAGCTGTAATAATTGTCCAGTATCTTGGATAAAACATTGAAGCAGTATATAACACATAGCCACACATTGAAACAACGATGGTATACTTACATCCAAGTTTTCCAATCAACAACGGTGGAACAAACATACATGAAACTAGTAATGAAGCATAAATGACAATAAGAGAAGCAAATCCTAAATTTTTATCTTGATGAATGCTACTCTGAAGATTCTGCAGAGCTTGGAACGCAGTAAAAAGAAATAAAAATCCAAAACTGACAGCAAGTAAATTTTTGTAAGTTTTTATTTTAAGAGAGCGCAAGTCCAATAGCTCTTGACAGGATGTCACCTGGCAATCTTCTTCTTTTTCTTCTTTAAATGATGAATAATGCCTTCTTGAATCAAGGTTCTCTGAAAATAATAAAAACCAATTTACCTGACGACATACAGTGCTTTTAAAAATCTTTTTATTTTTTGTGAGTAAATTTCAGTAATTCTGAGTATAACAAACCAAAAAAAAAATGTAACATTAAAATAAATTAAAAAAAAAGGTAATGCAGAATAAATTAAAATGCTACCAAGGGTTAGATTAAATAATGTGTTATCTCAATAACAGGAGTTGTTGAGATAACAACAACAGTTCAACTCACAATACTAAAAAGTAATATCGTTAAGTGTTACTTGTTTAAATTGTCAGGTCAGATTATCCTTCTACTGTTAACATGTAAACTGTCAGGTCAGGTTATCCTTTAACTGGTAACATGTAAACTGTCAGGTCAGGTTATCCTTCTACTGGTAACATGTAACCCAGTACAATCTGCTTCATGTTCTGCTGCCTTGTAAGATACGCCTTTTTAGGCAAAGGCTAGGAGATGCCATCTCCGACATAAAACACCCCCTGTCTTGGGGCTCTTTGTTAAGTAAAGGCTAGAGATGGTGTCTTGATTAAAATACTCATCTTGGGCAGATTGTAAATGCATCCGACTACTGTCTTGTAGAAGGCCTACTAGACAAAAACTTAAGGGGTAAACAGATTCTATCTGTTGACGAGCTTCGCACCCCTTCTTCATCTATTAGGCTAGCGCAGATGCAGATTTTTATACATTGTTTCCCGTTTAGAGTATTAAATGCTGGATCTTCTAGACTAGATGGATGGGTTTTTCTTGCGTCTCTGTTTTTATGACTAGCCAAGTCATTCTATTATGTTAATCGTTATCTTGCTCTACAATCTTCATCATTTCTTTTCCAGTAATTTCTAACTCTAATTAGTGGTTGCTTGCAGCCTTGTTGAAAGCAAAAATGTTTAAAAAAAATGAAGTATAAAGAAGTAAAATAATATTTTCAGTTTATAACGAGATGCATTATAGTACACTTGTTTGTGGTGCATACGCTAATCTTATAACGTAGTTAACAGATGTTAAAAGATTTAAAAATACTGGTTTCCAATGCAATTAAGAGCAATCAACTTGTTATGTTTCGAATAAAATAGTTACAAGAAAGTTGTTTTGTTTTATTCTTCAATTTCATTTTTTAAAGAAATAATTGATCTTAAAAAGAACTTGATCAGTACATTGGAAATTATACCAAGTGAGCATGCGTCGTCCAGGGATGTCCTTGAGATGTCAGCGGATGTCCCCCAGACGAGATATGCTGATTGGATAAATGCAAAAACATTTTAAGTTATTATGTATAGTTTAAAAGATGCAAAATATATTTTAAATTATATAGTGTTTAATGGTATTGTTGACTGACATTAATTATCACTTATTTATTTAACTAGATTTTATATTGCAATTGTAAAGTAATCATCGCGAAGGTGGTTTAAATTATTTATTTTCAAAATATAATTTATGCATAATTTGATTTATTTTTGATTGCAAGTTTTTAATTACAAATTTGCATAATTGTTTATTGATTTATCAATTTAATTTTGGTTTAAATTTCGGATTATTATTATTAGTAATCAATAACAATTTTGCATCCTGTTTATAAATAATGTCTACTGCTTCTGAAAAAAATAATTTATTCAATTTTGTTATTATATACATATATATATATACTTTGCAAAAAAATGAATAAGAAATACTGCTACTATAAGAATGATACAAAGTTGTACCAATTAGTTTAAGATGTAAAGTTGTACCAAGTTGTAAATGATGCGATGGTTTACTGAGTTAAAAATAGTAATAATAAAAAAAAAGATAGAAGAGTTTGTACTGGATATACTCATCTTGTTTGGCCATTAATAATATATGACTAAAAAGAGGACACTTTTCTTTAACAGAGTAGTAAATATAATAGACAAGTATTTGAAATTTTATTTTGTCAAAACTTTGTGGACATTGCATGATATTAACTTTCTTTGTGTATTAACAAAGTTAATACACAAAGAAAGTTAATTGTCTTATCTTTTCATTTGTTGTTGTTGTTGTTGATGTTGTTGTTATCGTTGTTGTTGTTTTTTGTTGTTGTTGTTGTTGTTGTTGTTTTTAATGTTGTTGTTGTTGTTGTTGTTGTTATCGTTGTTGTTGTGGTTATTAAGATACTCTAATTCTTAATTTTGCTAGTTTTAATTACTACTAAAAAATTTAATTACTCTCAATAGTATTTTATTTTATTTAATATATTATTAAATAAAATACTGTGTTTTTATAATTACCATTATTAAATTTAATAATTTTAATAATTACCATTATTAAATCTCATTGCAAAATATTCAAATGTTCAAGTTTTTTTATTAGTATATTATGGTTTACAGTATCAAAAGCCTTTGACAATTTCTCAATGAAAACCCCAATTTGTTATTTGATTGACTATTTCAAAGATGCAGCCTTTGAAATAGTAAAACAATTTTTTTTTAAACCAAACTGTTTTAAATACAAAATATCATTTTCTGATAAATGATTCAATAACCTATAATACATTATTCTTTCAAGCAATTTAGAAAAACACGGCAATATAAACATAGGTCTAAAATAGATAGATTATTAAATGGATGAACCATTCATAACTTTATCGTAATTTTTTAAATAAGACTTGAATGAAGTTGAATTCATTGGAATTTTTGATTCCGATTTTTCAGTGATTTATAATAAATATTACTTTCATCAATTGTTATTTTTTTGGCAGAGTATTTCTTGCATAATTATTTTTACCAACTACTTCTTTAATTACACTCCAAGTTTTTTTGGTGTTTCCGTTGGCTTTTTTGAATGGTGTTGCAAAATAAAGCTTTTAAGAATATCTTTTTGTTATCAAATATATTTTTATAGTTTTTACAATAAAATACAATATTTCTGTCTACAAGGATGGCACTTTTACTTATTTTAATGTAAAAACGCGATTTACTTTTAAGCGTAACTCATATTAAAATATATAATTCACTTACGTTTAAAAGTAATTATTTTTTTTATTATATAAATTATATTACAAGTAAAACTTAATTACATAAATTTAATTACTTAAATTTGTAACTGTTACTTGAAAAAGTAATTTATTTTTACGATTAAAGATAAATTACTTTAAAAGTCGTTTACTTTTTCTTGAAAAAGTAAGTTACTTTATCAGGTAAGTTGTTAAAAAGTAATTTACTTTGAAAAGTAATTTTAATTTTACTTATTCGCGAAACTTTCATTGAAAAGTAATTTACTTTCTGTGTAAAAAAGTTCTTTTCTGAGATAACGTTATGTAAATATAATCTTTGAAAAATTTAACACTTTTAAAAGTAAAATAAAAGTACATCATAAAAATAAATTACCTGTGTAAAAATAACTAGTTAGCAAAGGCAACTTACATAAAAGTAATTTAAAAAGAAAAAAGATTTACTATAAGAAATAAGTTTTTCTTTCAAATAATAATTTTACTTAGTAAGTAAGCAAAATGTAAATTACATTATTTCTCAAAAAAACAAAGCCATTTCACTAACATTTTTTTTTTAGTAGGTAGTTTATGAAAAAGCATTAGTTGATGGGTACATCTGGTTTATACTACTCGGAATTATTCAGATGTATGTGGGCCGTTTTTGCGGGGGGACATTAAAAATTATACAAGTAGGGGCTAATATATTTAATAGAATGGATTTGTAATAGTAGGACAGCGACGGCGAGGGCACTTGAGCTATAAGGAGCAAAATTATTTTTTTCGTTTAGACCGAAAGTAGATTATTGGTCTTAATTAAGTATTTAAATGTGGTCAGGGGGAGGGCATAGTTTTAATTTTTCTGTTACTTTTTAAATTATTTTTTAAGTGTACCCAAGAAGTCTTTACGGTAAAGAACCCCACGTAAAAGCATTTAACATCGCGCCTCTTTTCTAACCGATGTCGCAAAACTCACCCATTTCGTAGTAAACCTTTAACCTTAATGATAAAATATTTATTATGCATTATTTATTTGGTATGGGAGGGGGGGAGAGATAAACTAAATGCTATAAAAAGATATTTTCGTTAAGGGCAAGGAAAGCCGGTTAACGATAGACTAAAAGATCTGTGCACCACATATTATGGAGCACACAGCTTTTATTATTATTTGGGGACCTAAGTTACTGAAAAGAAAGTTATTGGAAACAGCCTCCTTTTCAGTTGCTTTGGTGGCGAAAGCGCCCAAGTAATATTCTAACATATTCGAATAAAATAGTGCCTTTAAAATAATGTTATTTTTTTAAGAATTTCCTTTAAAACTTAACGTGAAGATGGGCAGTAGACTGTGCGCCATCAGTAGCTTATGTGGCTACAATGGTGTCTTTTCAATAGCTTATGTTGCTTCAATGATGCTTCTATTACTCTATTCAAGACTAAAATTTTATGAATAAATCTTTTAAAAAAAGTTGGGTAAGAGTTGTTGTTAATAATTACCACGCTGACTTAATGATCTTAAAGAAGGACAATGACGATAGACGATTTAAAATAGTCTTTTAAAACAAATGAAAAATTAGATTTTCACCCATTTGAAACTAATTTAAACCTCAAAAAAAAATTAGATCTTTTGAAAACCGTAACAGCTGCTTATAGGCTGCTAAATGAACTAAACTATAGTTTATTTTACCGTTTCTTTTTTAATACTTTTTTAATAACGTCTTTTTGCGTTTCCGTTGTATTTTTATAACAACTTTAGAATCACTAGGTTTAATTTAATGTTTTTGATGTATATTGCAACGTTTCTTTTTTATAAGTATTTTTTTAATTACTAGTCATATTATTTTTCAGAACCTTTAAACATTCGATCCCACTGAAAACTGATGCATCTCTCGTGAAGCAAATTTTATAATAATCTAATTAGCGGAAAAATCTAGTAAATGTAACAAAAGCATTCTATAAAATTATCAATAATGACTTCTGATATTATACTATACATGATACCATACCCCATCACTCTCTCTTTTGCATAACGTCCTCTGCGTATGATATATATATATATATATATATATATATATATATATATATATATATATATATATATATATATATATATATATATATATATATATATATATATATATATATATATATATATATATATATATATATGATCTTAGATATATCTTTTATCGAACAGCAGCCGTATTCTAATCTCTCCGTTAAGCTTAACGGAGCTTTAGTAGAAAAATTCTTTTTAACTACATTAACAAAAAAATTTCTTTAAAAATATAATTTTTTAAAAATAAATGTTTTATTTTAGTGTTAGTTTTATTTTAAAAAATTTAAATAAGGTTTTCGTCATTTTTTTACTTAGGAATATTGTAATGAAATTTCAGACAAAAGCTCCGTTAAGCTTAACGGAGAGATGAGAATACGGCTGCAGGACACCAGTATAATTTAAATTGTCATTCTGACATAAGTCCAAAACCGAAAGTAACTGCGAATTTGTGTTTATGCTTCTTTGAAAAACATTTAAACAACTTCCTCATTTTGGAAAGGATGTAAACTTTATTCACACATTCAAACTTAATCGTAAATGTTGAACTCTTTTTTTTTTTTTTTTTTTAATTTTACATTTGTTGGTCGTATTACAACTATATATTGCCAAAAAAAATAAAATAAAAATAATGATAATAATAATAAACTTTCACAAATATAAAATAAGGTATCTGAAAGAAGATCAAAGGATCTTGTCGTCAGAACCTTAAATAAGTTCAAACAAGCATTAACAGTATCAAATTTTTACAAATTTCATATATATATAATCCAAATATATATTTTATAATCCAAAGAGAGATCACGCGGATCTACTCACCAATATTTTATATAAACGTATACGTGAAGTAAAGAATATAAAATCAACAAAATAAGTAAGAATAAACTTTTTACAAATATAAATAAGAAAAGGCAAAGTTATTAATTTATATTATTAATAATAACATAATACATCTTTTAATGAAAAAATTAGGGTTTTTAATTTACTTTTAAAAAAACGAAAAGTAATGGGTAGTTCGAAATCAAAATTGGGCAAAACAATTTTATTCAACTCTAAATAATAAGTGTTATAAAACCTGTCGCAAAACCTTTACGAATATGAAAATGGAAATTGATTTTTTTGCCCTCACATTTGAGGAACAGGTGGTTAATATTTTAGTATATTTTTAATTTTCTAATATACTTAAAACCCACAACTGCGCTATACCTCAGGTTTTGTGCCGTCACGACGCATTCGTTTAGCCGTAAAAAAAATCATAAATGGAAATTATTCTGGAGTTTTTGCAAGCGTATAATAAACTCGTTGGCCCTCAACATTATTGGCTGACTGAGATTTTTCCGGGGCTATTTAAGCAAGTGAATTGTTTTATGTACCACAGCTTAAAACTGAATTTAAAAAAAAACAGTCCACTTAAAATATTCGGGTCTCCTAAAAGTGCGGCACTCAGAGTTATAGCCACTCTAGCAACACCTTAATCCAGCAATATTATTAAAGACTCCGTGGTCCTATTGTCATTTTCTACTATATCGCGACACCTATTCTCTCTTTGTTATGCCTTTCCACTTTTTCTGTATCTACCAGGGTATTTGCGCCCTATTGCCGCTGCTAAACTGCCAAAAAATTAATGTTGGTTACTTTCATGCAAGTTGTACTTTTTGGTTTTTACTCGGTTGCACAATATACTCTCTAATTTATTTTAAAATATAAGTAAATTTACTTATAAAATATAAATTAATTTTAGTTTACTTAAAAAATTAAATGAAATAAGCTTATGTAATAAAATTTTTTCTTTATATAAATTGTTTTTTACAGCTTTTTTTTTTACATATATAATGAAAAATGACAATTTATATAATATTATTTTATAAATAAATTTTATTTATATTTGGTCGCCTATTACTTTATGTAATTCTTTTTTATATAAAAGTTTTTTTTACAATTACGGTAATATAATATTTATTTTATAAATTATTTTTATATGTAAATATAAACTACATTTTGAGGAACTATTAAATTATGTAATGTAATTTGAAAAAGTAATAAACATTTATATGTAAGAGTAAATTGCTTTTTTATGAGACTTACTTTTACTTATAAAGGTAAATTACTTTTTGATGTAATCACTTTTTACATAAGTTACTTTTGAAAGTAAAAAAACTTACATTATAAAGTAAAAGTAGTTTTATAAAAATTAATTACTTTTTTGTAAATGTAAATTCAATTTAAACGGTGACACTTATTTACATAATAAACTTTTTCAAAAAAATTTACTTACTCGTGTAATTAAAAAAAAAGCAAGTAAAAGTGCCATCCTTACTGTTAATAAAAATAAAAAATCATGTTATTAAACTATAATGTTCATTTCACCTAAACAACGTATTTATTTAGATGCTTATTTAAATTTTGACGAGCAATCGTGATTTTTAGGAGACTTACAAAAAAAAAGGAATTTTCTGTCCGGATTTTTTTGCCACAAGTATTTTTATTTACAGAAAAGTTTAAAAAACTAAATTTTGATTATTTAATGGAAACATGTTGTGATTAGCAAAATGTCATACAGACGCTTTAATACTTTAAAATCGCTTTAACTTCGCTGAGTAACTCTCTAAGAAGCGTTACTCTAAAGAGTATACTCTGCTTTCTGATACCTACCAACTTTCTCGGACCTTGTTAGGACCATCTCGGTTTTCTCGGAACATGTTAGGAGTGAACTTGTTTTGAAAAAAAAAAAAAACAATTAAAAGACCTTAAAAGGCGTTCTTATAAAAAAATAACCAAAATTATTAAAATTGTTCAAATGTTTATGGTCGTTTAAAAACAAAAATATAATAAAATATAAAATTAATAGCTTTTGCAATCATTATTATTAGGTAAAAGACTTGGGCTGTTATTGAGTCAGGTATAGACTTTGACCTGACTCAACCAAAGCCATTTGAACAAAGTCTGTGTCTCGTTATTGTGGACACAAAACCAGCCAAACTCAGACCCTTAAGACCCAGGCAACTTTAATGACAATTTCAAAGGCAAATCTTTTAATGATGGATGTTTTCGGCAATAATATTCAAGTTATAAGTAAAATGGACAGTGCTGGATTAGAAGATGGTGGGATGCTGGGGAGAAGGGCTACATGTAGGGGGAGGGGGGCGAATCGAAACAAAAAAAATTTTAAAAAGAAAACCTTTTGAAAAAATTCAAACAAATAAATTATAAAAAAAAATGATGGCAAAATTTTCCAAATATTTGTGTCTCTGTGTTTTAGCCATTGTATCAGTGCTTGACCCACGTTATAAAATGATCAGCGTTGATTACTACCTCAAGGAAATTACGGTGATGTAAGTTAGAAAAAATTGAAGATATCAAGTCACATTAAAAGAATTGTATAGGCTTCTAAATTTTTGAACATAATAAAAACACCAATGTTAGAAAAAAGAATTTAAACTCCGTCAAATTTTTATTTATTTTTTTGTATATAAAAAAACTCTAACATGTCTACACCACTCCACACTGGAGAGGTGTAGACATACAATGTTTAGTGCAAGATATTTTGTTCATTTTGTTGTCTATTTTTGCTGGATAAAAAATAAAATCCGAGGTAGTTTAGTATGAATATTTTTATTTTCTTTAGATTTTTACTTAGTTTTTATTTTCTAATAAATAGAGAAATACAGTGAAAAACAGCAATGTGACAAAAACAGCAATGTGACCTCTATTAATGAAAACGAAAATGAAGTTTAATTTCTTAGAAAAAGTGAAAAAGCAGAAAAAACTCAAGTAGTCTTGTTCATCGAATTGGGAAGTTGTTTTAAGCGATCGTAGAAATTAAACTCGAGATTTGTATAAGATTAAACAGTTATCTTTAAAGTTAATATGAAAAATATTATTTTTGAAAATTGTTTTCTGTTTTTATTTTTCTTGAAGTTTATATCAGCCACCATCTTAAATCAAACTTTAATAGGGAAAAACTTTATCACGTTCAAAAATAATTGTGACATAATGATCAGAGCGAATGCCTCTGGTTCAAGAAGTTCACTTAAGCCACCGTGGTACAACTGTTAAAGTCTTAAAACCAAGAGGTCCGAGATTCGAATTCTGTTCCTACCATTTTTACAACATCATAATGTAAAAAATGCGTGAAATTCCGTGATAAGTATTCTTCCACAGTTTACTGTGACAAGTTTTACCAAAACTACCCCTTAAATGTTTACGACCATGGTGACACATGCACCGAATAGCCCAAATTCAGTAATTTACGCATTGTTTTTGTTCTTGTTTTGGCAAGAACAAAAACAATGCGTAAATTACTGAACCCGCCCCAGACTTGTAAATGCGTAAATTACTTAACCCGCCCCAGACTTGTTAAGAAAATTGGATATAGATTTGGGTAGGGTCCATTGATACCTGGCCAAACTCGGTTGCGTATATACAAGTTGGTTCTAGATTTGGGTCCGTTTATACCCAAACCAGACCCAGTTCATTAACAGCTCTAACAAGACAAACAAAATTGTGTATTTAGAACATTTTTTACTTATAAAATACAAACTAATGTAGTAAAATAGCAATTAAAAATGAATTTTGTTTTTAAAATTATATTTAATTTTTCATTAGCAGAACGAATAACTTTTTTTTCAAAAATACTTTTTTCACCACAAAGGGCTTTTATTTTATAACAGACGCTTAAACATTCATTTTTAACAATTTTTAAATCTTATATAAATATATATATATATATATATATATATATATATATATATATATATATATATATATATATATATATATATATATATATATATATATATATATATATATATATATATTCAATATAATATTTTGAAGTAAATATACCTTCTTTAAAAGAATTAGGTTCACAAAGTTCATTTTGCTTTCTCACGAGTGATACACTAGAATAGCTTTGATGCATAACATTTTTGTTTTTAAGGGACAAATTTCCATCCTCATCATTGAATTCTAAAATTTTAATTTAGAAGTTATTAAAATTAGTAAATAATAAAAATATTTACGGAATACACCACAAGATTTAGTGTACTAAATCTTATCGTGTATTCAGTGCCGGTCTTAGGTAATTGGAGGCCCTAAGCACATTTGAACCATAATATTATTACCTTAAATGTGATTCTTAATACATTTCGTGTGCATTGTATGTCCAAGAAATCGCGAATATTAAGTTTTTCACTACGGAAAATTTCACATTCATGCAGATTTTACAAACGTTCTTTAAAAATCAACTTTTCGTGCTTTGATGGCAGCAAAAATAAGACGATTATCTTTTTCAATAGATATCATTACCAGGCTTTTTAGGTGTTCTTGCATCAAAGTTATTCTCAAATAAACTTTGATTAATTTTAACTTGGAAATATTTCTTTCACCTGATGCAGAAGGATCTGAATTGTCAAAGCTATAGGAAGGACTATAACGATATTGTGAATAGCAGTATTCAAACCACAATCATAAAAAAACGTAAAGCATGAAGATAAGACAAAAATATCTGAAAGATGTTAGAAAAGAATTGCATTTCAATGCATAATATGCACCCTTCTGATCAATATCTGAATACATTTTAATACTTGCCTTTTGGATCTGTCGATGATTCATTAATACTTTTATTATTGAACTGTTTGCGCGCTTTCTTTCTTCTCGAGCTTACTACAGCTTGAATTCATTTGGTCCCATTTCTAAATCACGAGCCAATTCTCTGGCTGAAATTTGAGCAGATAAAAATCCATTCGCTTTGTATTTTTTCACAAACTTGGTTCACTTTTTATGCATTCTAATGCAATGTTAAATTGTTTTTGATTCCATCAAATTGCTGACCATATTGGTTTGAATTAATAAATTGTACTAGATGGCTAAAAGAACTAAAAATGGATTGTTTTTGTTTTTTTTTGCAGTCCATTAGCTTTGGTCCTTGCTTTTGGATCGTTGAAATTTTCAGTTCTGAGAACAATTGACATTTCGCTGAAATGTCAATTGTTCTCAGATCTGAAAATTAGCAAAAACAATACACAGCATTTTTTGGTTTGAATTAACTAGCCAACGATAGTATGAACATTTACCATTTTGAAACTACCTAAAACAATATCCTACGGAGAAAGGCCGCGTTTTTGAACTCTTATCTTGCGGATACATTAAATTCCTTTTTCGATCAAGTAAACAAGTTTTATCGCTAATTAAAGAATTCTGTGTCTTTCAATCAAAGTTGATATTTTTTCAATTAATAAAAGGCTAAACCTAATGGTGTATCAAGCTAAAAAGTTGGGGAAAGGCGCCTATGATGGCATACTTAACTTTGAAGCTTTAGTGCGCGTTAATGATATTGCGTTTTATGTGTTTTTTTGAACCAAAAATCTTTTAGTGTAGTAAAAGTTTCTTTTTACTTCAGTAACAAATATGTTGTTTTTATGAAAAAAAAGGTTTTCTCAACTTGTCAATATTGTAACACACTTAACTCGTCCCCAGTGGGCACCGGACCTAAAAAAGACGTCTATTGAACGTTCAAAAGACGTTCAAAACGTTCAAAAACGTTTAAAAGACGTCCAAAACGTTCAAAAATGTTTAAAAGGCGTCCAAAACGTATCTAAGACGTTTAAAAAACGTCTTTTTAACGTCCGTAACCACTGGGTTAGTATGCCATTATATGAAGAAGTCATCACTTTTATTTAAGCAAACTATGCTTGCCTTGTTCAAAAGATAAAATCACAATCTTAAATATTTAAAGTGATTAAAAATATAAAAGCACATCCCAAAATCAATTTTTGATAATTATAAAAGTAATACTTGTGCATAAGGGACGTATTTTTACTAAAACTAATGTAAAGTCAGTATAGACATGTTGGTCTGATCACTTTTTCGCCATAACCAATTTTTATGAAAATATAACCGGTATGCCAGGCGCTATACAATCAAAGGCGGCTTTCCCCTAGTTTTAAGTAGCTAATGTTACCCATATTTTTGTGTTTTTTGGTGTAAGAGCATTTAATGTGGAGTTGGGACCATCACATTTTGTATTAGTTGACCATGTCAGCCATGTTTAAAAGTAGAGCCCAGACACGTTAGACCCAACCACAGACTCTAACCGAAAGTTAAAAGTATTGAAAAATATTTTTACAATTTGGAGTGCTTAATTATGTTGTCTCTTTATTCGATTAAATATTTTATTAGAAATGAATAGTTATTTTGCATAAACACATTTAAATATTAATTTAAATATTAAAATTAGAAGATAATATCTCTTATCTCATTAATGACATGGTACACCGAACAAATTCTAAAAAAAAATTATATTAATTTAAAAAAGCGCAAAAATTTCCCTGAAAACCCCCTGAAAAAAATATAATAACAACTCCACATTAACCCATAAAAACACAGTAATTACACTTTAAACTGTCGGAAAAATAATAATAAATATATTAAATATACCAACAATAAATATTGATTAACAACCCATTTAAATTATTAACTATGAATCATGAAATATTCCAACATTATATGTAATACAATCACACTCCTTCAAACAGTAATCAAGAAATTATCTAAACATTTTTTTTAGATATTGCTCTTGAGCACTTTGTTGCAGAGGCGAATTAAAAATCTTTAAAATTTGTTTCTTGAAGACTATATACGACTTCAGTATGCAGTTTCTTTGCTTTGGAAACACCTTGACTTTGGTTTTTTTATTTTATTTTAAATTCTTTTCATAATTTTTGCCTACATCTATTTCTACTTCAGAAATAAGTTGAATCTGTTTCACGTGACGCAGATCCTCACTCACTTCTATGATTTGTTTTAAAACGTCTTAAGTTACTAACGCTGGCTTACACTTGGTATGGCTTACACTTTACATTAGTTAGTTTCAACCAATCATCACTAGTTTAAAATTTTAAAATAATTTATTAAAAAACGTAATCTTTAATATTAATATAATAAGTATATATTTTGTTTATCGGTCTTACGTCATTTTTGTCGACAGCAAAATTGTATCAATATATTGCTTCCGTTTTTAATATTATCAATTGTTTTAGTATTCTTTTTATAGTGAAATGGTTTCTTTTCACGATTCTGTTCCCTTTAGGGTAATAAGCGGCTTCAAAAAAAATACGTTTTTCTTAACTATCTAAAAAACTCCTAATTTCTTTAGTTTTAAACGTCGCCGTTTTTTCTGTTAATATTTTAGATGGCGCTCTTTTTCTACAAAAGATAAGACGGAAAACTCAACTTTTGGCAGCACTATGAAAACTATGAACTTGACACTTTTCGTCACAATCCGTATTTTTAAAGTCCACAATAGATTAGATTAAAAATAATGCATGATATCCATTGCCAATCTTTCTAAATTTTTTTTAACATTCAAATTATCGTTCACCTACCTTTCAGGTAGTGTATCGACTGACATTGTTTGCAACTTTTTATTACCATTTAAACTGTTACAAAAGCAATATTGAAAATGCCGTAAACTCCTTTGGAGATAACTTAACTGTCGCATTAATAAAATTTTGTTAAGGATTCTAAAAAAATTGTATTGGAATAGTATTTGTGGAGCATGATTCGATTTTGAGTATACATATGAAAACTGGATATTTTAAAGTAAGTTGAGTGTTTAACTTTTTTCGTGAAATTTTTATTATTGAAATGATCAAAGTTTGAAATTCAAATTTGTACGCTTTAATAATTAAAAAAAAATAAAAAATTTAAATCGTGTAGATCTTTATAATAATAAAAAATTGAGAAACAAACCCCTAATATATAATCTAGCTTAAAATTGTTTTTTTTTTTTAAATTAAAAAGTAATAAGTCAAAAAAAATTGTATATATATAAATATCTACAAATAATGAAAAAAGTATTTTTTATTTATTTAAATACAAAGTAGCAAATATTTTTTAATTACTTAGCAAACCAAACTTTCTTTTCAGTCTCAAACATAGACTGAAAAGATCAACACTCTAATATACATTAGAGGGTGTACATTAGAGGGATGATAGTGTGTTAAACGCTTTTTAGATTTTATGATCAACTTCGTACAACCACATCAGTGAAAGGGAAGAAAAAAATTTTTTATACATTTCTAGATACCACTAGTATTTAAATTTACTTTATTAGAGGTAAAAAATCTCTTGAAAATGAAAGCGAATTATGGCTTCCAAAGCAAATTTAAAAAAAATTTAATTCCTTATTCAAAATCAGTTTCTACGGATGTCCTAATGTCTTAACTACAATCGGCTGCAAGAACCGCCTAATAATATAGTAGGTACACAAGCAAAGAGAAAGCTGGGATCTAGCTACTCCAGAAAATGTATTAGTTCTCTCTTTCTCTCTTTCTCCCAGGACAATTAAACTAAAATTTTGAAATTAATATTTAATTAATTAGTGTTATGTTTTTACAGTATCACATTGTGCACATGTGTACTTTATTTTTAGCAATGTACTTTATTTTTATCACATTAGTAATAACATTATTTGTTTTTTTATTTTTCATTTTTACGTTGCAAACGCAACTTATAGTTTTCTGAAAACAGAAATATTTTTAAAATAAAATTCACTTTCAAAAAAAAATAAAAAGAGGAAAAACAAAAAAATTCAGGACTGCATCCTTCACCTCATTATGATTTGGTTTCTGGCTATATTGCAACTGTAATGTAAATAATCAAACTCTAGGCGAAACTTTGTTTACTCAGAAAATATTTCTGTCATTATATAAAAAAAACCTAAAATAATAATAAAAAGCAATACCTTCTATAATGGCATTTTCTGTGATGGCATCTTCTGTGATGGCATCTTTTGTGATGTCAGATTTTGTATTAGCATCTTTTGTGTTACAAGATTGGTTTTCGATCACGGCATCGTTTTGTTGTTTGTCAGAGATGCACGGTGAACTAGAACTGTCTTTTCCAAAAGATGTGTGGCGGCATTGGTCATCAAAGTCAGATAACGTAATGCAAATTTTATCCGCAGAACATTCACTTGCTTTAATTATGCTCAAAATTTTTTCGTTGTTTGTACCTTCCATACCGAGTTTTATTTTAAATATGAGAAATGTAACGTTAAGATTAAAAAAAAAAACCGTTATCGAAAAGTGTGAAAATACTTGGTCTCAATTTAATTGACCCAATTACAGGCGTACAACCGCAAAGATATATTTTCTTTTGTTAAAATGTATATTTAAAATGTTGCGTCAAATTTAATAATATATCAATACAAGTAATTTCTTTTTAAGGTAAATTACTAATAACCGCGCTTTACGTTTATAAAGAGCCATTAACAGCATCTTTAAAAACTTAAGTAAGAAAGATAATGATTTAAACTCTGTGATAAAATGGATAAATGATTGATTTTTTAAATGATGGGTATTTGAAATAAAGGATTTTTTAAATAATAGATTTTTTCTAACCTTTATATAACCGTTGTAAGTTATATGTTATATATGCAATCTAAACGAACAGTTTTATTCTCCGCAATATGTCCTGAAGATAAAAGACTCACTGTTTATTAAACAATAGTCAAAATCTATAGATGCTCAAGCAAACTAGGTTAATATTTGTGGCGTTAACCTGGACAAAACAAATATAAATAAAACTTTTTTTTTTATTAAAATATTAAAAACTGTTTTGGTATTGATAATTATTTTTTGCTCTGTGCTTTTTCTCAGGTTTTTAATTTATGAGTTAAGGAGAATTAGGGAGACATGAGTAAGTTTGTGAAGAAGGACGGGGGAGGAGAACTAGTAGGGGCGACAAGGGTTGGAGAGCACAATAACTCCCAGAAATAATTTTGTTTTAAAGATTGCGTATATGATAAACATATTTTATCGCTGTTTTGATGTGTTTTTCTAAAATTTGAGTTAACGAAGTTAATTTTAGATCACAATTATAGTTAATAAAAATGAAACACTTAATATTACTTCAATGGCTTGGTAATTAAAAGATGTATTTACACATGTTACTAAAAGCAAAAATTAAGAAATAAATTACTTTACTGCTAGCTCATACGATTTGTTCAAAATCAATGCTCTCAGCAAATTCACATTTAATTGAAAATAATTCTAATACAGGGTAGACGTTAGTCTTTCATTGTTAATCGTAGATAATTTTTAATAGTCTACTGAAACGACTCTCATCATTAGCAGATGTCACAGGAAGAGTCAAGTAGGTTTTGTAGAGAAAAGTTAGGAAGACATGGTGTCATCTCTATCTCAAAAAAATAGAAGTATCTATTTCCCAATAGGCACGGTACGTTTTTAAAACGTTCTTTGGAGTTTTAGCTAGTTTTAAACCAAATAAAAACGTCAAAAGAACGTTTAAAAAACGTACCGTGCCCACTGGGTTAAATCAAAATTGAATGTTTTAGGTGGTACCATCTGACTATCCTGAAGATAGGGGGCAGTTTGCCCTCTCTCGTGACCTTGCTGTATCCGCCACTGTCACCTTTTGAAACAAAAGCTTTGCTTAAAACAAATACTATTGTAAAACGAAATTTTATTAAATAAAAAAGGTGACTTAACTCTTCTACCTGCTCAAACAAAACCTTCTCAAACCTGCTCAAACAAAACCTTCTCTCCCGTATTAGTTTCAACGAAACCATTTCTCCCGTATTAGTTTCAATCCAAACAAATTCAATCATTTTAACTTTTTTGAATTAATTCTTGTTGTCAACTTTTGATTTTATTCATTTCAAGATTAATTTCAACCCACAAATGTTAATGAAAGATAATTATGAATGTTAATATTGCTTAAAATTTCGATGAAATTCCAAGAGTAGTTCTAGTATTTAGAGTGATTCGTAATAACTGTACGTAATAATTAATAGTAATTAAATATTAACTATTAATTATTAATTACAATAATTAATAGAAATTAGTAATTAATAGTTTGTTATTTACGTAATTAATAGTTTGTTATTTACGTAACTACTTGAGTAAAATAAAGTTTAATGAATTAGTTATGTTAACTAATTCATTGTTATGTTAACTAATTGTTATGTTAACTAATTAGTTATGTTATCTACTTAGTAATGTTAACCAGGGCCGCCGAGAGGGGGGAGGGGGCAAAGGAGGCAAACGTGCCCCGGGCGCCAAGATAATAGGGGCGCCAAAAAATGATAAAAATTTTTTTTTTAAGTGTCTATACAATGTTCAACTTTTAATTACAATATTTTGTGATTTAATATGATGTTTTTATAGCATGATTTCCAGGGCTATGGAGTCTGAGTCGGAGTTGCGGAGTTGCGACATTTTTAGCGGAGTCGGAGTCGCTAAACAAAATCGCGGCTCAGACCCCAATAGTAAAACTTCTCGGTATTGCACGTGCATGTACAAAACATTCAATTAACTTTATGTTAATACTAAACCTCGAAGAACGTCTCACAAATTTGTCAAAAAATCGCGTAATATTTTTTAAGAGTTTTTCAAAAATTTTGCTTTCGAGTTGGAGTCGGCTTTCATATTTACGGATTGCTATGTTTAGTACATTGAGTTTTCTTTTAAAAAGAACTACTTTTGTATATATGCATAATATGAAAGTGACGACGTATTACATTTTCGCATATTTATTTATTTATTTGAAAACAACAGAAGGACCCGAAGGCGACTAACACTGAGTATACATTAACAAATTTTTTACCTAAGTGTTAAATTGTATCATTTGCTGGAAAAGTTAGAACAAAATTGTATTAACTTAAACAAAGCAGTACAGCAAGACGGTTCTTAAACATCGAGATAGACGATGCAGACACAACATTCTCCGATAAGCTAATCCATACATTAACAACTCGATTAGAAAAGAAACACTTAGTGCTGTTTAAACTACAATGATTTTTTCACAGTTTAAAGTTATGACCACGATTATTCAAGTTAGAATTGAGAATAAAAATGTTTGATAGCTCAGTATCCTGTTTATTGTTAAGAATTTTGTAGCATAAAACTAAATCTTTAAACACTCGTCGATATTCTAACGTGTTAAGCTTTAGTATTGCTAGACGCTTATCATAAGAAACTGACCACAGACCAGCAATTCTTTTAGTGAAGAAACGCTGCACTTTCTCAATTTTATTAATCAGGCATATTGTGTATGGTGACCATACTGAAGAGCAACATTCAAGCATAGGTCGTACATAAGTACAGTAAGGCTTTAACATATAATCTCACGAAAGTATTAAAGTGCATATTTCAATGTCACTTTATGCAATTGCATCTCGAATGGCAAATCTACTTGTTTAAAGGTGAAAAGCGAAAATAAAAAATAAAATAAAAAAGAATAAGCTAAAAAGTTATTTTTAAGATATAAAAAGTAAAAAAAATAAAAGTAAAACAAGGTTAAAAGTCTTTGATAAATTTTTATAAATCCTATCAGACTGTTGTGCTTCTGACCTTTTTATATAAAGTTCTTCAAGTAGTAGATTAAGTCGTTTATTCCAGGCAGCTTCACTAACAATAGATGACGAAGTTATTTTAATTCAACAGCTAATAAGCAATCTTGGCCGCATCCGCTCATCATGGAATAATATTTTGACTGAAGAGAAAGCTGTTGCAGGTCCTCTAGGCTTTGAAACGGATTTTTTGGCAAAACGAAAGAAGAGTATGAAACGGTATCACAATGAACTTGAAAATTCAGCTTTCTGCTATCAGAGCCCCGAGCATCAATTTGAGGAAAACATCTTTAACGTCGCTCTTGATCATTTTATTTATCAGATTCAGTCAAGATTTGACATAATAAAGAGTGTTTCTTTAAGGTTCTCAATCATCTGGCTGAAAAACCACGAACCAGATTCTCAAGAGATCAAAGCTCGTGAATTAGAAAAGTTCTACGCTAATGATGTCATAGAAGACAACATCATACAAGAAATTTTGCATCTTAATTGTTTGAAGGAGTCTTTATTTTTTATTCCTAGAAACTCATTGAGCCTTCCTAACCAAATACATTCGAAGAGTCTGCCGCCAATTTTCCATATCTATGCATCTTAATTCGAATTTTTAATACAATGCCAGTATCTGTTGCAGATGGTGAACGATCCTTTAGTAAACTAAAATTGATAAAGAATTATTGTAGGGCCACTATGGGACAAGAGCGTCTTTCGGACCTCATAATGTTTTCAGTGATAAATGAGTTGGCTAAGACTCTTTTATATGATAATACATTAATAAATTTTGCCGGTAAAAAAGCAAAAAAAGAGTGTTTTATACAGGCCATTTTTTGTTATTTCAATTTCTGAAGAATGTCTAATAAGGCACTTTATGTTGTATTTGCGTTGCTAAGTTGTATTTTTTATAGACGCATTTTTTGAAAATTTTGCCGTATAATGATTTTAACTGAAATAAACAACAATTAAGAAAATTCTTTTTAAAACCATATACAGTCATATGAATGCGCGAACTTTTTCGAAAATTTTTTTAATCATGTATGCTTAAAGGGGCGTCTACTCAACGCTATGCCCCGGGCGCCACAAAAGCGGCTCTCGGCGGCCCTGATGTTAACTAATTGTTATGTTAACATTTGAGATCTATTTAAATATATTAAAATCAAATAAACTTTATTCTTAGTTACAATGTAAAGTTTTATAATTGAAAAAATATTTGTATCATTTATCTTCCTCATTTGGTAATAGTGAAATTGAAAATAAATAAAAAAAATCAGATTGATTATTTGAAAACTAAGTTGTGTCACGTTTTCAATTATTAACGGTTGATACAATGAAGCTGGAGATCCGGTAACAGAACAAAAAAAATCAACAAGATCGATTGCCAAAAAGTTAAAAGTGTAATTATGCCAAATTTGAATACGCAAAGCTCCAAGTTTTTAATCAGGATCTTTTAAAAAAGCTGTTCTTAACAGATATCCAAAGAGGAGTGCAGATAGTTTTGAGTCCTTGGCCCAAAAGATCCACGTCGCTCAGCTTATAATTACACAGTTAAGTGTGATTCAAAATTTCCACAAAAATGTAATGAAACAAAAATAACTGAAAAAGGTTAGTTTAATGCTTTTTAAAAGAAATCACAGGCTAAGCATAAGAAATTCT